TAGGGAGGGAATAAAACCTCTTAACTGCCAGGCGGGTAATTAATCACTTTAACTGCGAACAATCATGCTTAAGTACATAATCTTTACTCCCTGGAATGGAGATAAGAAACGCCCTACCTTTGGAATAGAGATTGATAGGATTAGAATCAACTGGTATAAATACAGATGCAACAAGACAACAGGACACAGAACTTAGGAGACAGAACTTAGGAGTCAGAACTTAGAGACAGAAGAACTTCGCTCGAGAGAACATGGCAAAAGATCCTGGACTGAACCTGACTATAGAAATTGGCAAGAGAACCTGACTAGAACCTGGTGACTGAACCTGGCTGGAGAACCTAGCAAGAGAACATGGACACAGAACCTGGCTGGAGATCCAAACCAGAACTTCGCTCGAGATCCTGAACAGAACTTGGCTGGAGATCCAGACCAGAACTTGGCTGGAGATCCTGGCTAGAGATCCTGGCTAGGCTGCTGATCAACTGAACGCTGTCTCCGTGTCATTCCTTCTTCGCCGACTCCGTCCACACGTTTGGGGACCCCTGGACCCACTGGGGCTGGACCCCAGCAATGAATAAAAAACTTAAATTATGTTCCCAAGTTTAATGTATCAGTGATAAAACTATGGAACACTTATAGTTAATAACTTTAAGGAAAATACTGAATCAAACTTTCTGCTCAACAGCTGTTAATTACTGTATTTTCTTCTGTGATTCACACAAAAAATATTTAATGCAAAGTTTGTCTTGTCTATTGCAGATTAACTTTATAAAATACTAGAGACCCAGTGCACAAAATTCAGGGGCAGGTCCCTCAGCCTGGCCTGTGCCCTCTTGCAGTCCAGGGGCCCTGGGGGATATCCAACTGCCGAAGGGGCGGGAGGCTCCGGCCACCGCTGCTGCACTCGCCAGCCATGAGCTTCTGGCTGAGCAGCGCTCCCTTTGTGGGAGTGCACTGACTTCAGGTTACGAGCCAGCTTCAGATACCCCACCACTAGTTGGCACAGCGAACATCACAGTGAACGCCACAACATCAGCCCAGCATCACGTGTCTCACTCGTTCACTTTTGATTTGACATACGAGTCATTTGAGTTACGAGCTCCGTCACGGAACGAATTAAACTCATAAGTCAAGGCCCCACTGTATTAAAAAAAGAAGTATGTGCATTTCATATTTACTGAATTAGTGCTGGGAAAGGGGGATATTTATTTATTGGTTGAATCACTTTATTCTTCTAACATTACTTTATTTAAAATTTATTTAATTAAAAAATTTTTTACAATTACAGTTGACATACAATATTATATTAATTTCAGGTGTAGTAACACACTACTTTAAAATGCCTATCAGCAATGAATGACAGTACCAGCTTTGGGTATTAACGTTATAAATTTTTACTAACTTAGTAAGCAAAATCCATACTAACATAATGGTTTACATTTGCATTTATTTGGTTTCTTATAAGACTGAGATTTCCTCATTCCTTAAGTGTATTTGTACTGTCTGTCTGTTTTCTCCATTTATGTTTATGGTTCTTAATGTCTTTCATGCTGATTTCTGAGTTTTTCATATACTATAGAAACCTCATTTTTATCTCAATAGGATCTTGAACTTTGACAATTTTGTTATAAACAATTCACATATGAATCACATCATCCTTCTATGGAATGCGACTGAAAAACATCAGGGACACATCCTTACTTCTATGACTTCTTTAGCCAGATCGCGACAGCAGAACAACTTTGTCTACTCTATTCTCAGTTACCCATTACTGTCTACAACTGATTCATCGTCCATGGTATTATAATGGGTAACCCTGCTTAACCTCTTCTTCATATGCTGTGGTTAAAAGCACAGACTCTTTGGTCAGATGACCTGGTTTCAAACCCTATTAGCAGTGTAACCTTAATAAGTATTTCACCTATCAGAGCCCCAGTTTCTTCGTCTACAAAATGAGAAACATAGTAGTTTCCACATCATAGGCCTTGGTAAGAATAAATGAGATAATGTATGTAAAGTGCTTAACACAGTGCCAGTTAAATAGCATATACTGAAATATTAGGTCTCATTATTTTAATAAACATCAGCTAATATGCTTTAATGTCCCTAATGTTAGGGAATTATGTTTATGTCCAACCAAAATCTCCCTTCCTGTAATCTAATCCATTTCTTCTTTTTCTGTGGAGATGGAAAACAACTGTTCACCATTCTCATTATGTTATCCCTTAATATTATTTATGATACTGTTAGTATATCTGAATCGAAATAAACAAAAGGTTAGGGTAACTGAAAAATATTTAAATTACATACTGTAACTTAATGAACATTCCAAACACTGTGGGGCAATGTCAATTACCACTAATAAAGAAATGACTTCCTATTTAACTACATTCCAAATAGCTAACAATATATATTATCTGTTATTTAATTAATATATATCTGTCAATACTAGTAGAGCTGTGAGTCAACTATCTTTTGTGAGTTTTCTTCTCTCTTGCATTGCTTTGTGTAAGCAAAAAAAATACAATCCGTTTAAATATATATTTCTACTGACTCTCCATTTTTTTATTGCTTCACAATGACACAATAGTCTTTTTTTTTTCATTAAAAGAGAAAAACTTATTTACATAAAATTCAACACAGCACAGTTGTCCAAAACTTCCTGGGCAGCAGTAAGCAGGGCCAGAGAGAGAAAAAAGCCTAGATTTCAGCTCTAAGTTTCATCGAATACAAACAAGGGAGCATAATTATTCATATTTTAAATTATGAAAAATCACTCAACATTACCCTCTTAAAATGAAATTGGCCACAAAGAATTATTCTCTCCACTGAATAAAGCAAACAAAACCAATCAGAAAGCATGCACTTGAAAACTGCTCAAAAGGACATTCATTTAATTTGGCCATTCATTCTCTTTAAATGAGTCAGTTACCAAGTGTGAAACATACTCTACACACAGGAAATGTAATCAAGAGCTGAATAAAGTCAGTTCATGAAATAAACCCAAGAAATCCATTTTTTTATATAACTTTATTTGGATGATAGTTTGCCAAATAGAGTTTCACATCTTTCATGCTAAAATTAGAGCATATAGAAATCCATCTTAGCAAATGTTAACTTCATATCTTGGACCCCTGAAAAGGATATTTACAAGCACATCTACATAGAATGCTGGAGTTGAGGCAGCTCTCTGCAGCCTTGGACAGACTTTCTGTAGGGCAACAAGAAACCAAAGTCAAAGTGCCAACCGCCACTCCATACCCACAGGGAGTTTTTCCTGACTTAACTCTGAGAAACCCGAACCAACCCACACACTCCCTACTGTAAATATAGGCAACAGACTGAATTCGTTCTGGCTACTCCTGTGTTTCAATAGACCAGCTCCCTCTTAACACCCAATGTTGACCTTTTGTAGAACTGACTCAGTAACACAATACGGGATCAAAGAAACTAAGCTAAGATAACCTTAGCACAACAGAGGTTTATAAACATGAAAAAAAGTATTAATGTATTCCATTAGCTATAAAATAACTTTATCCACATCCCCGTTACCTATTCTAACCAAGAGATTTCAACTTCACGCTCAAGAAAGGTTAAACCATAAGATATGGCATTTAAGGCAAAAGAGTTAAGGGGCCATTTAAATCTTTCAAATTAAAAGTAAATCCAAGTAAGGTGAAAGAGTTCTTGAGAATGGTTGCACAATGATGTAAACGTACTTCACTTACCTAACACTACTGAACTGTATATTTAAAATGGTTAATATGACAAATTTTATGCTATGTGTATTCTGTCACAATATTTTATCTTTTTTTTTATACTCAGCCGAAGATATTTTTCCATTGATTTTTAGAGAGAGTGGAAGAGAGAGGGAGAGACAGAGAGAAACATTGATGTGAGAGAAACACACAGATCGGTTGCTTCCTGCATGCGCCTGGACCAGGGCCCAGTCTGGGGAGGAGCCTGCAACCTAGGTACATGCCCTTGACCAGAATCGAACCCAGGACCCTTTGGTCCACAGCCCAACACTCTATCCACTGGCCACACTGGCTAGGGCCACAGTTTGTTTGTTTTTTAAAGTAAATCAGGGCAATAGCAATGAATAATACAAAATGAAATTAAGAAAACAATTTTCAATAGCAACAAAAAGAACAAAATATTTAGGAGTAACTTTAGCAGAGGAAGTGCAAGACTTATATGCTGAAAACTAAAAAATATCATTTAAAGAAATTAAAGAAGACCTAAATAAATGAAAAGACTCTTGTGTTTATGAACTAGAAGACGATTAAGATGGTAATACTCCCCAAATTGATCTACAAATTTAATGCAATCTCTCTAAAAAAAAATCACAGCTGATTTTTTTGTAGAAATTTACAAGCTGATCCTAAAATTCATATAAAATGCAAGGAACCCAAAATAGCAAAAAACAATCTTGAAACAGAATAAAGTTGGAAGACTCACACTTCCTAATTTCAAAACTTACTACAAAACAACAATAATCAAGATTGTGTGGGACTAGCATAAGGATAGACACAGATTAATGGACCAGAATTTAGAGTCCAAAAATAAACCCATGCATTTATGGTCATTTGGTTTTCAATAAGGTACCAAGATAATTCAAGGGGAGAAGAATAATCATTTCAAGAAATGGTGCCAAGGCAACTATGCAAAGAGAATGAAGTTGGATCCCTACCTCACTCCATATAGAAGATTTAACTCAAAATAAATCTAAATATAAGAACTAAAATAAAAAGCTCTAAGAAGGAAACAGGTATAAATATTCATGCCCTTGTATTAGTCAATACTGTCTTAGATATGATATCTAAAACATAAGCAATCAAAGAAAAAAGATAATAACTGGACTTCATCAAAAGTAAAAAGACAGGGTGGAGGGTAGGCAATGGGAGGATAAGGACACATATGTAATACTTCAATCAATAAAAAAAAAGTAAAAAGATAACCCACAGAATAGGAAAAACTATTTGCAAATCATATATCTGATAAGAGTCTAGTATCCAGAATATATTAAGAACTTTTTCAATTCAACAATAAAAAGACAACCAATTAAAAATGAGCAAAGGGCCCTAGCCAGTTTGGCTCAGTGGATAGAGCCTCGGCTGGCAAACTGAAAGGTCCCAGGCTCGATTCCAGTCAAGGGCACATGCCCAGGTTTTGGGCTCAAGCCCCAGTGGGGGACTTGCAGGAGGCAGCTGATCCATGATTCTCACTCATCATGGATGTTTCTATCTCTCTCTCCCTCTTCCTTCCTCTCTGAAATCAATAAAAATATATTTTTAAAAAAATAGGCAAAGGATTGAATAGACATTTCTCCAAATAGAAAAACAACTAGTACATAAGCACATGAAAAGATGCTCAACATCACTAACCATCAACAAAATATAGTTACCTGTGTTTTGGCAGTTTGGCAATTCCTCGATAAGTTAAATACAGAGTTATCATATGACGTAGCAATTCTACGCCTAGGTAGATATAGCCTCAACTGTGTCCCCACAAATACCTATGTTAAAGTCCTAACCCCCAGTACTTCAATTTGTATCTATATTTGGAGGCAGGCCCTTTAAAGAAATGATTAAGTTAAAATGAGGTCCTTAGGGTGGGCCCCAATGAATATGACTGGTGTCCTTACTAGAAGAAGAAATACACACACACAGAGGAAAGACCATTGTGAGGACAGTGAGAAGGCGGCCATCTGCAAGATAAGAAGAGAGGCCTCAGAAGAAATCAAACCCACTGACACTTGATCTTGGACTTCCAGCCTCTAAAACTATGAGAAAATAAGTTTCTGTTGTTTAAACCACCCAACCTACTGTATTCTGTAATGGCAGCCCTAGTAAATTAATACAATAACCAAGAGATATGAAGATATATTCATATAAGAAAATGTCCACAAGTGTTCATAGCAGCATTATTCATAATAACTGAAAAGTGAAAGCAACCCAAATGTCCATCAGCTGATGAATGGATAAACAAAATTTGGTATGTCTATATAATACAGTATTATTCAGCCATAAAGAGGAATGAAGCACTGATCATGCTACAACATGGATGAACCTTGAAAACATTATGCTAAGTGAAAGAAGCCAGACACTAGAGGTCACATATTATATGATTCCATGTATATGAAATCTCAAGAAGAGACAGAAAGTAGACTAGTGATGGCCAAGGGTTAGGGAATGGGGAAATGAAGAGAGACTGCTTATAGGAAAGTGTTTGTTTCAAAGGTGATAGAAATATTCTGGAATTAAACAATGGTGATGATTGTACAACCTTGTGAATAATACTAAAAATGTATGTGAAATATATCTCAATTTTTTAAAAATTTGCCTAAAATACAGCAAGTGGGGGAAAAAGACTTTAAGTTATGATTCTACATTTTAAAAATTTTAAATGGAGCCCGGCCAGTGTGGCTCAGTGACTGAGCATCAACCCATGAACCAAGAGGTCCCCAGTAGATTCCTAGTCAGGGCACATGCCTGGGTTGCGGGCATGATCCCCAGTCTCAAATCCATTTGCCCCAACCTATCAGCAACCATTTGACTCTGAAGCCCTCTGTTTGCTAATCCTTGGCCTTGGGGTCTGTCTATGCCCCAGGTAGCATGCCCTTCATTTAGGCTACGTCCAGTGAAAGACGACAACATGCACATCATCTGTAAAAATATTAAAATATTAAATAAATATTAAGTAATATTTATTTAATATTAAAATATTAAATAAATGCCTTATCACACTTAAAACAGCATGATGAAACAAAGTCCTGGAGGGAGCTCAGAATTATCTTTGAAAACAAGTATATGAGAAGAAATTTCACTCAGTAGGAATTTATCACTAAATTATAAGCCAGACAACGAGGCACATTCATGGACAGAATTTAGGAAGCACACTAGCAAAAAGAGAAATTCCTTTACCAGAAGGAAAAGGGAGGGGTGCGGGGAGGCAGGAGAGGGTAAAGTGGGGAAAAGAAAAAAAAAGGAGAAATTCACAGCCTCTGTTTGAAATATGGAAGATTACATATCGAGTTTATATGACTGAAAAAGTGCCTTATCACCAATTACTACTTCTAAATGTTAACTAGAATTAGAACAGGTAATAAACAATTAAAAAGAGGAAAAACAATTAAAAGCAGAAGACAATGAATGAGAATAAATATTATACTTTGTAAACCTACCGAAAATCAATATCCAATAAAAGGCTTTTAATGTTAGGCTTCTTGTCACCTGATGCTTTCAACCTGATCAGCTCATGCAACCTAAAACAATTAGTGAAAACAAATTTAAAATGAAGTTACAAAGGCCAGAGATAATAAACAAATAAACAAAAAAAAAATGAATATTCTCCTGATATTTCTGATTGTTCACTGAAGAGAATGTGGCAGTTGTAATCAAAGTTTCAGTTTTACAAACATATTTTAAAAGGCAGAACTTCTCTGAAACATAAAAGTCTAAAATTATAAACAGAATTTAAGAACCAAATCAAAAAGAATCTCCTATCATATATCAGAAATCTATAAAGATTTCTCCCAAGTGGATTACAGATTACAAACTCCTTTAGAGGGACCATGCTATATACTTCTTTGTATATTCAAAACTGTATGCTCTACCCTGGAACTTGAGAATTCTTTTCTTACAGTTTAAATAACGGTGCCAGGAAGTTTTTTAAAAACCACATAACCTACCTTGGTGTTCCAACACACAGCACTCTTCTGAACCCAAGGGTAGAAAGTAGGTCTATCAAGAACTGACAGCTCCTATCAGCAAACAAATACTGCGCGTTTGTCTTCTTGTTTTCCAACGGAGAAAGGAGCTGACTGGGCCTTTTTAACTGGATGACAGAAACATCACCCATGACCTGGTGCTCGCGATGCTTCTCCCAGTCATCTGGCAGGAGCAACTGCTGACATCTTTGGCAAAACTTTCTCTGAGACAACGGCAACTCAATGAACTTCAAATACCTTCAAGACACAACACAAGGAATGTATTGTAAGTTTGTTGTTTTCAAGACAATTTATTTTTGCTATTTTTAGTATGCAAAAGTATTATTTCCTAAAGACTACTGCATAAAGAAGCAAAGGTAAGAAAAATCTGTGGAATGTTGGCTAGAATTTATGTCTGGCTGCAACTGCATGCCTACAAAGTGGAAGAGAATCAGCAATTTCATAAGAATTGAGATGCTCCAATTCGGTCACTGAATGAAGATCAATATCCATTTAAAATGTGAACATAATATACTACTCAAACAACTTAGTAGTAATGGAGACTACTATCACGTTTAAATTTATTGACAAATCCATGTGCTCTAACTTTGAAATGTTAAATAGTCTGGCTCAGTATGACAGTCATTTTAAAATGAGAAATTAAGATCATTCTTCAAGCTCTTATGGCATATTTAGCAAGAAGAATTGCCTCCTTAAAGAAAAAATGTTCCTACCAAGTTCCTCTGTTCTTAGCAATACTGATGGAGGCAGTTCTGAGAAACTCATCCCCAAAACAGCAAGCTGATATTTGAAGCTTTAAAAAATATATATTAGAATCCCATCTGAAAGATAGAATCCAATCTTTTAAGCCATTCGAATATCTGATTTCAAAGTCACCACCCTGGCCTTTCTTTCTTTTCTTTTGATTTGGGATGAATAAAGAGAGAGAAAAAACTGCTGACTATGTATATGCTACAGCAGCTATGAAATCAGAGTAAGAAAACAAAAGAAAAATAAATAAGCTTATCGAGGCTCATAGAGGTCAGAAATGTCCAAATCTAAGCATGTCAAATAGTGCACTAAAGGATTCTTCTAGTTTGAGAGAAGTCATACGGTTTCAATTGAACTAAACTCTGGAACTGCACTGGAAAAACTGAACATAATTTAAAATCAAAGTGGGTTTAAAACTTTTTATTTCTAAGCAGTTTCACTTCAAAGCACCCAAGGCAGTGACAAATACATATTCTGAATGGCTACAGCAAGAAATAAGCTTATCATGCCAGTAATTTAAATGTTTCTATTTGTATGATAACCGTTCCTATGACAGCTTTATCCATGACTAGAAAGAAAAAGGACAACCATATTAGAAGAAACTTTTATAATAATTCAAAGAAAGAATGTCAGTAGAGAACAGGGCCCCTAAGACATGAAGTGCAAGTGAAAGACCAGTACATTGCAGCCACGGAAGCAGTGAATTCACTATGTTACCTTTCATTGTTAAATGTTGTGTCAACATTTAGCCATGATACAGTAGCAGAAACCGGATTTACTATTCTGACCTTCAAAAAATGTTTTAAACAGACAAAATACATGAAACCACAGTTTCAATATATTGGACAACTGGCAGCCCAGTGAATAACAGGAGGAAACAAATGAGTAAGTGGTACAACTGCCCAGCTTGCAGTCGTCTCCCATCCTCCATGGGGGATGTGTTCCAAGACCATCCCAATGGATGCATCAAACCCTACATATACTATGTTTTTTTCCTAAATATACATACATATGATAAAGTTTAATTTCCAAATTAGACAGAGTAAGAGATTAACAACAATAACTATAATAAAATACAGCAATTATAATATACTGTAATAAACGTCATATAAATGTGGTCTTTTTCTCTCCTGTAATTTTCGTATTTTCAAATTCTATTCCTGAATCTAGACTTATTAAATTGTCTAGAATCCCCCATCAATGTTAAATAGAAATGGTAAAAGTTGACATCCTTGCTATGTCCCAGTCTTAGGAGGAATGCATTCAATCTTTTGTCAGTATGGTATTAGTTATAGGTTTTTCTTAGATGCCCTTTATCAGGTTATGGAAATTTCCATCTATTCCTAGTTTTCTGAGAATCTTTATCATGAATGAATGTTTGATTCTGGACTTGGAAGAATTCAAGTTATATAGTCCATAACCTGGGTCCCTAACAAAAAGCCTGCTGGACAGCTGTGTGGCAGGTAGAAAGGGCAACTTCCAGACAGGAGCATTTGTGCAAGCCCTCGAATCGGTTTCTCTAAGATGAAACCAATGATTGTGCTACATGTGAATGTTCTGAAAGGTTCAGAAAACCCGCAGAGAGTCTGCAGCTGAATTAGCGATGTGCACATAAATAACTAACAGCGGCTACAACAAAAAATCCAAGACTGTATGAACTCCAAGAAAACAAAAAGCTGTGTGGAAAAGAACTTATTATGATTTCATGGTTTAGCTATGAGCAGCATTTACATGGTTATAATAATACAAATACTAAATTTTGTATCTAACCAAATTCATGGTATAACCATGTAAGACTAAGGTGTGAAAAGATATACATTATAGTGGGGGGCAAGAGGGTGGGGTTGGAGGGGAGAGGGCAGAGAGAGGAGAGAAAGATAAATCCTCATCTTCCACATGAAATAAACAGATAATTCCAAACACTGACAAATCAAGAAGTACAAGGCAAGCATGCTTTGTACTCTACAGACAGAAATGTGCCTTCTAGAAGTAAATTAGCCAGAAGAGCTGAGTAGCTGCTCCTGGGGTGGGGGAAATGCATGGGTGGAAACAAGCGTATTGCTCTTTGTACAACCTCACAGAACAACTTGATTCTCTTGTCACTGATTTCTTTACTGAAATTAAATTCACAAACCACAGAATCACCCTTTTAAAGTGTACGATTCAGTGATGTTTAGAACATTCATGAAGTTGTGCAACCATCACAATTTAATTCCAGAACATTTTTTTTATCACCTCAAAAAGAAATCCCGTCCATACCTATCAGTAGTCACTCCACAATTCCCGCTACCCCTGGCCTCTAAAACCACTAATGTACTATCTTTATAGACTTGTCCATTCTGTACATCTCATATAAATGGAATCATATAATAGACATATATAAAATTTGATTTAAAATATTTATTATTAATAAAAGACATTTACTTAAAAAATAAAAACTGGCCTAGTTGGTGTGGCTCAGTGGTTGAGCATCAACCCATGAACCAAGTGGTCACAAGTTCAATTCCTGGTCAGGGCATATGCGCAGGTTGCGAGCTTGATCCCTAATAGGGGCCATGCAGGAGGCAGCCGATCAATGATTCTCTCTCATCATTGATGTTTCTATCTCTCTCTCCCTCTTTCTTCCTCTCTAAAATCAATAAAAATATATTTTTTAAAAACATAGAGATAACATGATGAATTACAACTGACATAGCCAGGGATTGAACCTGCAACCCAGGTACATGCCCCCCATTTTATTTTCCTTTGGGTAATGTGTTTTATTTAACCCGGTATATCCAAAATATTATTTCAACATATAATCAATATAAACATTATTAATGCGATTACTTATATTTTGTTAATTTCTAATCCAGTCTACAACATCCAGAGTAGCCACACTGCAAATGGCCAGGGGCTTCTGGCCACTGACCTGGATGGTGCAGGTCGAGGCCTCATTTCACTTTTGTGTAAAGACCAAGCCTCTTTGGAATTTTATGTACTTGAATTTTCCAGGAACGCTGCTACTGTGCAAACAGAGGGTTGAGGTTTGACTATACTTTGTTTTTTCCAGGTACATGCCCTTGACCAGGAATCGAACCCACCATCCTTCAGCACTGAGCCAAGCCAGCCAGTGCCCAATCTGTACTTCTTAATCCCTTCATCTTTTTCACCCAATGGCCCAACTCCCCTCCCCTCTGGCAACCATCAGTCAGACACAAGGTTTTTTAACAGCTTGGTAGCAAGAACATGAAACCATGAAGAGTTAAGCATCACTCAGCACCCTTTCCTTATTTATACTTACTACACATACCCCAGGGGGAAAAGAAATTCATTCTGCCACAGGCTCAGCATGATTCAAAAATTGCAGGCTAACATTTTGAAATGTCATTTTTATTGATCTCCATGTGATGTTCCATTTGCCTTTCCTGGAGTAGACAAATAATGTTTATGGCATTTCCCTAATAGCAGACCTTGAAAATCTGAGTTTAAATGAGCTTTGAAAAAAACATAACCAAATAAAATATCAACTAAATAAAACGATCTGAATGTACATAAATTAATACTGATGCTAGCATTAAAATATATCTTCCCTGAGACTTCATAGGTCACAATAAAGGTGCCAACGTACTACATAATAGAATAGCACATTTCAACGCGTAAGAGGCAGCTAAAACCTATAAGGGAAGTCAAATCTCAGGCACAAAATGTAAATCTGTCACCTGAGCACATGAAATACAAAAGACGGCTCAGAGTGAGATTAGGAAAACGAATATCAAGTCCTATTCTGTAGAGCCTAGGAGTCTGTGTAGCACCTCCAGTTCCGTAATCAAAATCAAGTAACAAGGTCAATTTATCTTGCTAGCTACCATCACTGCTTGCTAGCAATTCCAAAAATAAATCAGTCAATGGAAAGCTACTGTTACTCTACAATAACAGATAAAAAGTTTGCTTTACAGAATAGGTATAATGTTTAAATGCATTTTACTACTTTCAAATACAGTGGTTACTTAATCAGATAACATAAATGAGTTGCATAAAGTTAAATTAGAAAGCAATTACAATCTCAAGTAACAAAGCAAGGAAACAAGAACACCTAGATTTTCTTATAGTTTAATTGAATCACAAATGTCCTTATGGGATAACATGAGCAACATGCTTATCAGATAGAAGTGATAAGGCAGAATATAAAACTATGTCTACATTATGACTACAACCTTGTAAAACAAACCTTGGCAGAGGGAAAAAGGCGCGGAGGAAATGTAACCAATCGACCAAGGTGATGGGTGCAGAGGGAGAAACCATGGATGATGTTTTCCTACTTTCTGCATCTTATTCTATTTTATCTCATTATGATATATCTCTAACTCCTCATGTTTTATTCCTTATATCTCCTTAAATTAAAACACGACACATCACATATTAATTACTATCTGCTTTTATATTTAAAAATACAGCCGTTCTAGCCCAGCCAGTGTAACTCAACCGTTAAGCATCAACCCAGGAACCAGGAGGTTGCCGGTTTGATTCCAGGTCAGGGCGCTTGCCCAGGTTGTGCGTTCGATTCCCGGTGGGGGTGAGTGCAGGAGGTAGTGGATCGATGAGGTTCCTCTCATCGATGTTTCTCTCTCTCTCTTTTCCTCTCTATCTAAAAACCAATGATGAAACATATTCAAAAAATAATAAAATAAAATAAAAATACAGCCATTCTAGTAGTATGAACTTGAAGTTACTAACTTCTCTAAACCTCAATTTCTCATCTAAGTAAACTAACTCATCAGGATTAAAAAATATCTCATGTAAAACACCTAGCTCAGTGCCTAGCTCACAGTAGTGCTCAATTTATATCACTTCCCTTCTCAACATTTTTTGTTATTGATTGAATTCTTATAAATTAAGTAGACATCACTGATTAAGTACTTTGGTTAAGAGGCAATCCATTTATCTTTTAAAAAGCCTCCTCCATCAAAGGATTTTGAAATCTACTTAGAAGCTTAGGAAGACATTTTTAATAGATCCCAGTAATCCTTTCCATTTAGCCTGGATAAGACCTCAGAAGCCTTCAAAACAGCAGCCCAGATAACCTGAAGGAGTAGCCATTAGAGTGAAAACCTACTTGTCATCAGCAGCTCGGAACAGGGAATTCTTAGGAGCTTCTCCCAGCACAGAGGAGCACATAAGACAGGGAGAAACTCTTTTCTCGGGTTTGCCAAAGAATTAAATCTATGGCTCAATTCCAGTTCACTCAATAAAACATTTTAACAGTGGAGATATTTAAAAACAGGTGTTTACAGCTTTAAAAAAAAATGGTTTTTTACCAGGAAATCTTCATGGTTTTGTATTTAGCAATGAATTCTTGGTTTTGCTACCAAAAACACAAGCAACAAAAGAAAAATTTGATAAGTTGGACTTTGTCAAAGTTAAAAACTCTTGTGTATCAAAGGACATCATCAAGAAAGTAAAAAAACAATCTAAAGAATTCACATATCACCTAATAAGAGTGAATGTATAAGCATATAAAGAACTTCTGTGACTCAACAACCAAAAGAAAACCATTTTAAAAATTGACAAAAGAATTGAATAGACATTTTTTCTAAGGAAGATAAGCAAATAGCCCCCAAAAAACATATGAAAAGATGACCAACATTAAGAGTATAGGAAAACAAAAAATTAACACCACAATGACACACCACTTCACATTTGCTGGGATGGCTATAATAAAAGACAAAACAAAACAGAAAATAAGTGCTGACAAGGATGTGGAGAAATTGGAACCTTCACATATTGCTGGTGGGAGTGTCAAATGGAAAACAGTTTGGCAGTTCCTCCAAAAACTAAACATAGTATAACCTTACAATCCAGTAGTTCCACTCCTAAGTATATATGCCAAAGACCTGAAAACAGGGATTCAAACAGATATTTATACACCACTGTGCACCAAAGCACTATTTAAAATAGCCAAAATGTGGAAACACCCAAGTGTCCATTGATAGGTGAATAAATAAAGTGTGGTATATACATACAATAAAATACTATATATATAAAAAGCTAATATGCTGTGTCTGTCCGATCAGTCACTATGACTTGAACTGACCACCAGGGGGCAGATGCTCAATGCAGGAGCTGCCCTGATGTGCGCTAGCCATTTAGAGAAACGGAACCACAGACCTGGCACCCACAAAGCAACACGCGGCTTCTCCCAAGTGGGACACAGGCCCTGCCACAACCCCAGAGACAGCCCACCAAATCACTGCCGATGCTGCCAAGACCCATGGTACAAAATGCAGCCCACAGCCCAGCCCAGCCCAGCCCAGAAATGGTCACTGTGGGCGCCGGGTAATGACGTCACATAGCAACGCCTGGCTTCCTCTCCCTAGAGACTAGCCTCCTTACAGTTTCTTCAGCCCAGGAACACAACTTGCTTTATAGCCAGGTGCAAACATTTTACACTTTAACCAAATGTCTGTGAAGCATTTTCCCGTGCCTCATCTCATTTGATCTTCACAGAAGTCCTGGAGTAGGTAGATAGGAAACTTGGTAGAATCCTATTTTCTTTTAGTTAGGTGGAAAATAGAGATTTAGAAAGCTTAGAGAAGATTTAGCAAGCTTAGAAACTTGACTCAACTGAAAAGAAGAAATGGTGGACCTTGAAAATGACTTCAGGTTTTCTCACTGGGCAGAATATAGTCAAACACCATTGCAGTTAAATATTTTTTGTTCTCCCTGCGTGATCTACAATAATAATGTGCTTCGTGTTAACATTTACTGCTGTGTTGCTAACAATTACCTGAAAGAGAAGTTGGGGTGCTTCACTGGGCTGGAAAAAGTTTAGCTAAATCAAAAAGTAGTTCTAATTAAGCAAGTTTATGCTAAGTTGACTCACACATGCACGATACATGTAAAGCTCTCCCTGGTGCCAATTGCACGCATGTGTTTCAATCTGTCATTTTCAATCGTGCATTTGGTTGACACTTCTATTATAGAGAAAGGGCGAATAGTGATATTAAAATATTTATTCTAATTAATTTCCTTTCAATGTGCTCGGATTTGTGCACCAAGCCACTAGTTCAGCTATAAAAAGGATGAAATTCTAACACATGCTACAACATGAATAAGCCTTGACAACATTATGCTAGGTGAAATAAGCCAGACATAAAGGACAAATACTGATGATATCTTCCATTTGAGGAACCTAGAATAGTCAAATTCATGGAGACAAATAGATTAGAGGTGACCAGAGATTGGGGGCAGGGAGAATGGAGTTACTGCTTAACAGTGACAAAGTTTCTATCTGGGGCGATGAAAAGGTTTTGGAAATAGTGGTGATGGTTGCACAACATTATGAATGTAGTAACGCTACTGAATTGGCAAATTTTATGTTACATATATATATTTACCACAATATAAGTAATTAATTAAACTTAAAGGCACAGGTAAAAAACAAACAAACAGGACAATAAAATGACAGCACATCAGTACCTTTGCACACACTGCATTCGGGAGAGAGGAGGCTGGCATCTTCGGTTATGAGCTTCTCGGGCAGCAAGTCTAGCACCTGACAACTGAGAGTACAAAATCCACTTAATGTGCCATCAAACTTGCTACCATGCTGGAGAAAGTGGGATCACATTCTGACATCAAGAAGCCAGAAATTCAAGGAGCTCAAAGTTGTAAACAAGCATTCATTTTAGGGGGGGAGGGAGGGGGGACCACAGCACACCAAAACATTAAACTGGAAAAATTCTAGAGTAGTGTGAAGCAGTAGAGCACAGTGATTAACGCTCATGTGGTGATCTTAGCAGGTCTGCAGAAGAGTCATGTACAAGACCGTTTTCTAAGAAATCCACCAAAGCTGAAAATATTCTACTCAACACTTTCCGAAACTTTAATTGGAGCTGAGTCCAAGGGGACACCCAGCTCATAACTATTTCTTCAAGCGCCTTCATCTGTCATCCAGTAGGTGTATAAAGGATGTTCAGTGCAAATGTTGAAAAGGGGTGTTTTTCTCAAACACTGTTTGGAATGATCGTGATCTAAACTCTTTAGGGGAGAAATCTGTGTTTGCAAACCCAACACCAACACCTCAGACGGTCTTAATGGGAACTAAGTCTTTGAGACAGTCGTTTCAGACATCGGTGAGCCAAGTAAGTTCAGAGTATGAGCCTGTCTTACAAACCACACGGTATCTTCAACTCGTTAAGGATTTACCTCATTCATTCTCAAAGATGTCACATACATCAAAAATTAAAAATATAGACATCCACAAAGTTAATGTACCTTTTCATCTTCCCATTGGAAAAAATTACAATCTTTTCTATCTCGACAGGCCGAGCAGGCATAAAACCTCCGCGTGTCTTCCTTCCCTTGGCTCACCTTTACAAACAACAGCGTGGGACCTAGTTCCAGAACAGGGAAAAAAAAAAAAAAAGTCAAACAACAGTCAGGTACCTCAAGTTCCCGGTTGCCACCGCCCTTCACTACACTTGTTTTCATTTTATGCACGGATTTATCATCATTAAATCCACTACTTTAACAATTTACTTAGGAAATCGTTTTTGAAAACCGGTCTCTCCAGGAATAAAATGCCACTGTCAGCAGAGCTACTGTCCACGTGGCGAACGTCCTGGGCCCTGACACTAGAGCAGTGGTTCTCAACCCTGGCTGCACATTAGAATCACCTGGGAATCGTTTTAAAATCGTGATTTCTGGGCCTCATCCTCCGGAAATCCTGTTTCTTTGTTATGCGGTGAGGCCACAACATTAGTAACAAAGAAACAGAATTTCCGGAGGATGAGGCCCAGAAATCAGGATTTTAAAGATTCCCAGGTGATTCTAATGTGCAGCCAAGGTTGAGAACCACTGCCCTAGAACAAGGAGGGCGTCCAGGGAACCGAGCACGTGGCCTCCCGCGCCTCAGGGACCTTTTCAGGGGAAATCTGGGTTTGGAGAGCCGGACACACCCCTTCTTCGCAAGAATTCACTCGATATCGTTCCCTCTTCTAACCTTTTTTTTTTTTTTTTACTGAAAAAGTAGTAAATCAACAAATGAAACCCCCAAGTACTTGGTGATGGGAATTACTCGACTGCACGCATCCCCTTTGCCTCGCCTCTGCCTATTTCCTTAAAATAGAGAGATAACAGCCGTGGAGCCCAAACCACAACAGTGGGACCTGTTATAACGGCCTCTTAAGTTGAAAACCACCACTTCCCGAGGAAGGGGTGTTTGCGGGGCATCACACACGGCGCGGGAGAACGGTGGATGGAAACCCGGGGGAAGCTCGGGCGAACGCTCGCCCCGGGCGCCCAAACGCGGACCCACCGTGAGGGC